TCGTCATCATCCTCCTCTTCATCGAACCTCTCACGATCTGCAACGAACAAGCTACTTTTGCTTATCACGCCGGTCTTAACATCCCTGATGAGACCAATGACTTGCCGAACGACCTTTGCGGGATCAATACCGGACTTAACATCCTCAACGTGAGCCTTATATAAATTCGAAACCTAAAACGGATTAAAATTATCATTTAGCTCGTTGTTCAAATCATCAAAAATAAACCATGCAAGCATCTCATGTGTACCTTATAAATGGTTGTGATTTCATAGGTCGAACGTAAAAAGAAATCGGCATCCTCATCAATTTCCCTAAATATCGCTTGGTATTCCGGATCATCCTTGATTCTGTATATTCACAATGCGCATCGATTTAGTTACATGTATATGGATGGTGTGACGCGAGAACAAGAAAGAAAAATAAAGAAAATCACTAATTACCTTAAAGAAATATCTTCCTTTCGTTTATCTTTTTCCATCTGCTTAACCCTTTCCTTGATGTAAGGTTCAAGATGACTCAACGGAGCACGGTCTTCGTCGTAAACCCAAGCCTGAGCTAATTGATTCAATGAAAACCATCCATTTGTGGCTATCCATCTCACCCGAGTTTGGAACGACACACCATCCACCGGTCGTTTAACCATTGCCTTATTCCAAAACGTTAGGCTCAGTTTTGCTTCTCTCGCGGCACGATCAGCTTCTCCCAGTCGTTTTAACCTGATTCGCTCGCACTCTTTAATTTTCTCAATCGTATATTCGATGCTGGGCCTATTGGCAGGGTTGCAGTTGACTTCATAATAAAAACAATTGGTGGCGAGAGCGGTCCAAGAACACGGACGTCTCGGTGGATCGAAGAAATCCGAAATGGTTCCGAGGCAACGCCTGTACCATTCTCGCGCTTCGGAGGTTATTAATTCTGGTGCAAATGTCTTGACTTCATTACGCAACTTTTGCATGAATGATTCGGCACGTGCAATATACAATACCGCGGCCCTTTTTGGAACCGAAATGTCTAATGAGAAAAGAAACTCGTGGTCAGATATATTGACCCATCAACGAATCGAAGAACGTGTAATGAACCCTTACTTCTTGCGGCATAATGATACTCATCCTTAGCTTCGGGACACAACAAGAGATCAGGGTCGTGAAAATCAATCTCCTTATAACATCTCAATTCAGCATCCATCCACTCCTTGCGTCTCAGTATCGTGTTTGCGCGAATTATATCCTTGGCGGCATCTAATTATTTTTAAAAAAAAAAAAAATAAATAAATGAGTAAATGATTCAGGATGGTTTTTAAGCAAGAAACAATCGTGTCAAAACATTTAAATCGATACATACATTCCAAGCAACCGCAATAACCGTCATCGGTTGAGCAAAATCCGTTGCAATTCTTTATGAAATCTTCATAATCACAGTACATCTGCTTCAACTTCTCTGATGGTTCTCTCATATTATGATG